TTCGCAAATCGCGTACATAGAAAATTACCGAATGGTATACAAAGTCCTCGTTAAATTGTCGTGGAAATTCTAATTCCACGAGACCAGTTAATTCATTCTTCGTCTGACCGTCACACGCGACCACTTTAGATATCTTGACCTCTCTTCACGTGGACAGGTACGGTGACACTTTCCTATGTTCAGGGTGTTTTCCGTTCCGCATGAATAAAACGGAAACAACGCGATAAGTATGAATGTAGAAAGTTTGATAGTAGCGAGGACGAAAAAATATCGGTCAGTTTGAATCGTAGGATCGTTTATCGGAACCAGGACGTGATCAGGAATCAGTACGATCGTACAGAAGGTAACCTGACCGTGGAGGCAGGAGAAAGCTGGGTTTCCGACTTTGGCCCGTAGTAAACGAGGCGATATACATAGAAGATCATTTGGCATGCTCCGTTGCTTCACCGCATCCTTCTTCCCTTTTTTCTTTTTTCTTTCTTCATTCTAATGCTCCAGTCTCAGTCACTGCATCCATGCGTCGCTACCTACACATTGCACCTCCTTAAAGTCCCATTTTTCCAGATGCGATACACGCATAATTGCGTTGCGTTGCGCTCTTCGTCATTATACTTTCGAATACGTATCGAGTTCTCTCATAATTTTCACACGTTCCAAGTAGACCGTCAACCGTGCCATCGACAGCCTCGTCTATTCTAGATCGGCTCCTAAATTTCACCGGTTTACATTCGATGAAGCCTCCAATTTGAATTGATCATCCAAGTAACGACGTTAACCTCGTTTCTTAAAGTCAATGTTCGAACTACCCAGTGGAGAGTTGTGCAAAGTATCACCCGTTAATTTCGGCTACGGATCAACGGTGTTCGATCATTAACATAACATATAAGATAATGTTAGACATTATGGTTGATTCGTCTGTTGGTTAATTTATCAAAGGAACTGGTTCCAATCTTATCGAAATTTCCCGTCACTCAAACGATTCGAACGTCCCTGAAACTTCGGCTGTGGACAGGCCAAAGAGATGCGAACGGAGAGAATAAGATTCCTCGCATTGACCCCGAGTGGCGTCTGACACATTGCTACGAGTAGTATACGCGCATAGCTGCGTGTGTGCACCTAAGTTAGGTATGCCACAGGCACCAGGTAGTGGTAAGTTGGTAACGGTTGTCAGCACACAGACGGCTCGTGTCACTCTT